GAGAGAGAGAGAGGAGATGGCCATTTGATTCCTCGTCTTGCGAGTTTTTTTTTTCCTCCAACGATTTAGTCTTGATCTTGGTAATGATTCACCATGAATCGCACGAACTAGAAAGATTTCGTGAAAAAGATGCAAAAATCGAAGAATCATGCTTATCTTTAATCCTGCTACTTAGTCCTTTTTTAACTATAAATACGACGAAACGGAGGGACGTATATTTACTCCTTGCTCCAAGCCTCTGATGAGGCTTAATAAAAATGTTTAAACCTGAACTTATAAACACGAGGCTCGGTTACAATCGAGGATTATGAAGACGTTTATATATATATTTTCTTGAAATTAGTTATTGCGATAACAGTTAAAAACTTTTATTTCGTTAGATTTAAATTCCTCGTTATCTCATAAAAGAGAAGAATTTAGGTATATATCAATACGTATATAAATAACGTAGATAGAAAACAGAAGAAAACGCCTAGGGAAGGGACGCACGACGCGCACCTGTAACTCTTCTGCCCCTTTTGCTTGCACCTACCATAATACCGTCTTGCCTTTTCAGCTCCAACTGACCGACTCGCTTTAACACACCTGGCTCACTGGACGACTATCTCGACGCTTAATTTTCGTCACGGAAATTGGCCACCCTTCTCGCCACGAATCGTAGATGCGTCGATTCCGCAATTTTGTTTCGTTCGCGGAAGCGGACGAATTCAAACAGCGTGATGTAATAAAGCGGGAATACATTACGTTGTAAATCGCATTCGTAATCACCATTTAGAATTTTTAATTTAATCCGAATAAGACAACGGATTACTCCGATTATTACAATTCGAACCGAATCGTCTTTCTTTCAAAGCAGGAAGTATGTACGTATGTGCACGTATGGGTCGTGAAATCAAGACGTTTCGGTTAAGATAGAGAATAACTTCTCTCGGTTGAATGGCACGGGCGAATCGAATGGCATGCATCACTCTCACACGCGTTCACGTTTATGCAAATAGACCCACCGTGCGCAACTTTGTCGCGACGCTTGGTAAGGGTATCGCGGTGAAATGTGTTAGCGTGTCAATGATATCGCGCGGTAGGCAGGAAACGATGACAAAACCTATCAATTAATCGGCGACACGCATACACACGCGACGACAAGCTTTCGCGCATTGTATTTTGCATCTCTCGATAATACCCACGCACGTGCGTTGCGACACCGGCAAAGAAGAAAGAACGAGTTAATGCAGAATTCGAACAAGTCTTCTTTTTTTTTTTTTTTTTTTCCACGAACGACCCACTTCCAATTTCCAACGTCCTTAATAACAAACGACGAGATCCTGAAAGAACCTCGAAATTCTATATTACGATTTCCATTTTTCATTTGCATATATAATCCTGATGATCCAAGCAAATTGATTCAAAATATTCTCTGCATAGATCCTTCTCGATGATTTGATAAATTGATTTAATTATCGTGCGTCGAATCTGTTTGTGTACGGATGATCGTGCGATGAATTCTTTTTTTTTTTTTCTATAGACGAATCGCCCACGTTTCGTTCCCATTTCGCTCGAGCCGAGTCGTGAAAGTGTTTTTAGATACGACACAATACGTGTGCAGTGTGTGTAGTCTCAAACAGCTTGTACTATTTTTTTCTCCTTTTTATCTTTTTTCCCCTGGATATGGAGATCGACCTACGCCTCGAATAGCGCTCGTTGAAGAGAAATTTCTTCTTGAATTTCTTTTATCTCTTATACAGACATTATAAGAACGTGTTTCGTTTTAACGAATGTTTTTTTTCTTTTTCTTTTTTTTTTTTGTTTTTTATTACGCGTTAAATTGTTATATGCTTAGTTAAAAAACGTTCGACTATAATGAATAATTCACGGAGATTAAAATATAAATTAGCTTCCCGTGTATTTAAAAAACATGATTTTCTCAGGCAGGCGTAAATATTTTTGAAAAATAGTATTTTTGTAAAGCTTGAACAGAAATGCTTTAATATTCGTTCAATCGGATTCTGAGCTTCGGATCAAAACTTTAATATTATGTTATTATTTGTTTATTTATTATTGTTTATTCAAGTGCGCATAGTGAGCGAGAATGGATATTTATCGATCGGTGTGCCATTTAATGGTGAAAAAGTGACACAGCGGCTCTCTCTCGCC